ATTGCCCCATTCCCCCCCCACCTACCACCCCCCATCCCGCCCCCGGTGGCGGAACTGCCCCTGGCAAAGGATAGCTGAAACCGATGGAAATGAGGCCTCAAAGCAGTCGACACACGTCTTGGGGAGGACCTGTCAGATTCACATGTCTGAGTTGCTGAGGGACGTTACGCCTTTGCCTGCCCCACTGGCGGGCCCAGACTCCTGCAACCACTGGACTTCCTTGGGCTCCGCATCGCTGCCTGGCAAAGCCGGGTGTGTCTGAGGCCAGAGCTGCTGTGAGTTGCCTTGAGGGGAAGACCTCCTCTTTAAGGACCCCCTGCCGTAAGGAAATGTAGGGTCCATTTTAATTCTTAAATTAGGCTAGAGGCTGCAGGTAGGCAAAAGCCTTATTTCCCCCCTGCTCTGGTGGGAGGAGGTGAGGGCCATTTTAGGGAGAGGGAACAGTTCAGGTAGGGTGTTAGCTATAGCACTTGGCAGTGTAAGCGCCTCACAGTGAGGAGGAACGACCCTTCCAGAAGGAGGAGACCGTTGCTCTATGAAAGCTTGCTCATGTCGATTCCACATTCTCCATAGCATCCCACGCTCGTGTGTGAGGTACCACCAGTCCTATAACCCCTCAGCTCCTGGAAACCTCCCGGGGTGGTTCACCAGAGGATCTTCCTCTTGCTTTGCAAGTGTGAGTGCGGTCCCATTGCCTGTGGGGGAGTCGCTGGCATCTCGTTGATCGATAGTTGGTAACAAAGTGTTAGGAGTTACGTTAGTTTGTTAGAATCCCAGCATGGACTTTGCCTTGGACTGAGGTGTAGTCTGGTTCCCCAGGCTTCAAACCAGGCTCTGCCCATTAGCAGCCCTGGACGCAGAAGGAGTGGGACGTACCAAAGAGCCTTCCTCCAGCGGCCGCACTTTGCTCGGTATCCCCTTCCCATTCCCCGGCTCTCTCCAGAGATCTCAAGTGAGTTTAGCACCACAGGGAAGTCTTGGCAGTGCCCATCAGATCCAAGAGCTGCTCACTGCCTATTAGTAAGCAGAGCAAACCTTTGGTCTGCTGGAGAAAACTCAGGGGTATAATGAATGCTGATAATGGA